TTTCTGGAAAACATGCACGAACTTTCGAATGGCGTACATTTTCTCAAAACGCTACTCATGAACTCACCAACTTAATTGTTGACACTTTCTCTTTGAAATAACTTGTATTCTCAGGGAACCGCTAAGTAGGTTTGGAAATCAACTTTTGGGATTGACGCGCTGGCGTTAATTACTTCTTTTGAAAGATGTTTATGTATTTACCTTTTGAACATGTAATGAATACAATTATGTAAACATTTTTAAAAACCTTTATATATGTATGGTGGTGTGTACTTTCCTTTCTATGAACTGTTATGATACTGAATATGACGTCCTCCGCCCCCGAACGTTTCCGTCGTTCTGGTTTGGGGGTGTGACACCATTTCACTAACCAATTACATCTTTATATAGTATGGAGACTAGGGTTAAACCCATGACCTTTCATTTCATATGATCCATGGGTTAAACACTCCATGGACTATCCATGAAAGCTTAGCCCAACCTAAATGAACTTGGCCCATTCCATATATATAAGAGTCCATATTTAATTAGTTCATTTTGATCACTTAATTAATTATAAATTAATTCTTGATCAATACTAATTAAATAATATGATTATATATTAATATATTAGAACTTATAATATATTAATATAAATCATAAATATACTATTCTCAAAAGACTATCCATATAAATTGTGCCGGTGAAGTGCAACCCAAATGGACCATGCCGGGTCGGGTCAAGTACATACCAAATATAATTATGAACTTAGACATTAATCCAACACATCTGTAACAACCTGTCATTTCAGGTCATTGAAGATCGAGTCTTCTAACCTCTTTGAAAAAGGGATTAAAATATCACCGAAAAATGAAGTATTCAAAAGCTCTGTTTGGAGTACACTATGTAGTAAATATCTTCTTAAGGTTTCCAAGCATATAAAGAACACTAAAATCCGAGTTATAAGGAAGAAGTTATGACCATTCTAAGTTTTCCGACAAAAACCAGCAATACGAAGTTTTGTAAAAACGCAAAGTTTCAATAAAATACTTTTTGACCTTAGGTGTCTAAATGAAAGTCATAGATATCGTTAAACTACAAACGTACATAAAAAGAATGCCCAAAACGAACATCGTATAAAAAAGTTATGAATTTTTAACGAATTTTCTTACCCCGACCTTTTAAAAAATAAATAATAAAAATAATTTCGGAATTTGCCGACGGAATCTAAACGAAAGTTGTAGATCTTAGTCTCACCTACGCGTGGATATAAAGAACGTCGAAAATAGAGTTCGTATGAAGGAGATATGAATTTTTGAAGTTTGATAAATAATTAATATATATATTTTTTTATTGAAAACTTCGGTATTATCCGAAGTCTGAGTCACGCGAGTACTCCCTGCGTACACGAGTACGCCCAGCGTACTCAAGGCCTTGGCCCCGGTTCGTCCACGTCGCCCCCTATGGGAGCTACACCCCGTCCCATCCGAACTCCGGGGCAGTCGAGAACTCGGTCATGCATGACGCAGGGTACGCCCCGCGTACCGAGGCCTCTCAGCCCCTATAAAAGGGATCTGAGGGTTCCATGAAAACTTGCTCATTTCCTCTCGTTCTTCTTGCATTTTGACTCGTTTTCCGTGCCCGTGCAAACCCAAAGCCCTGGTCGCTTAGATCAAGTTCCGAAGGTCGTTTATAATCCCGAGATTCCTGAGAATCCCGAGAAAATCCGTTTTTTTCAAGCCAAAGTTCTGCTCGGTTTTCGTCACACCTTCTTCAAACTATCAAGTGAGTTCATACCCCCTTCAAACACACTTTGAATACATTTTAAATGCTTTTATACTCTTTTAGGGGGGGATACAAGAAAACATACGGTTATTATCGTGTGTTTTATAAAGTTTCACTTCACTTGTTTTTATCGAATAAATCACTTGGAATTCATTACTACTATGGAAAACTCTTGTCATACTTTGCGTACATTAGACTTATACAAAGTATATAGTGATTTCAAAGTACCTTTCGTTGCTAAGCCGTTTTATACATTCTAAAAACTTATGATTTATGCTTTGTCAAACATTGTGGAAAAGGATAAACTTTGCATACAAAACTATTACTTTAATACAGACTTAGTTGAGAATCCATGAGATGTGTATATCTTCAAATACTACCTTCTTGTTAGAAAGTAATACTACAAGTCCTGTCTATAACCAGAGTCTCCCGTTAGGAGAACGTGTCAAATGTGTATAGATCTATACAGGAAGTCATGATCCCGCGCCCTGACTGTTAGCTACAGTCCGTACTTTGGGGTGACAGTTTGTCATAACGCTACGACGCCTGAAAAACATCACTACAGACATATTATGTTTAGTATGGTTATAAAACTCATCGGATACACAATTATTATAGTACTTCTGATTGATGAACGAGTAGCTATTAAAACTATTCTTTATCTACCAAACGGAAATCTTCTGATAGGTTTATTATATAAAGCTATGTTTAAAATCTTCAAAAGCATGTGGCTTGCTTCCAATTTTTAGTCTTGGACATTAAACAAACTATTACTTTAGGAAAATATGGGAATTTCTTGTATACAAACCAAACAACTATTAGGAAAATAAGGGGTTTTCTTGGTTCAACTATCTACATTTTTCAACACAAATACTCTCATGAGTAACAAGTGAATACACCATGGTTATATATGACAACGATCTAACAACCAATGGAATGTGTGTTATCCGCCTTACTTACTGTACCCCGTTGGGTTGTGAGTTGAGGGCAGATGCGCACAATCGATTGTTTGTTTACTCCAAGTATATATATAACTTGTACCCACTTATTACACATAGAAAGGCTTGTAGTGTCATTTTACTCAACTCCCATTAAAGTAGGAAATATATGATTTTCTAGAGGAACAGGCAAACTTTACAAAACAGAACTTACAGCTTACATCACTTTACATATACATTTTCAACAACACTTTACAGCTTACTCACATCACTAAAATCTTATGAACTCACCAGCTTAATTGCTGATTAACTCTTTCAAATAACTTGTATTCTCAGGAGACTATTAGACAGGTGCTTGTGCTGGGACTTCAGAAGATGGAGCATTATAGCTTCAAGTCTTGTTTTGTTATTTGTTTATGACTTCTATGTTTTGTGAACACATACATGGTAAACACTTTCTTTCTAAATGAAATGGTTTTTCATTACTTGCTTACCATATACATATCTCGTGATACTTGACATGATGTCCTCCACCCCCGAATGTTTCTGCCGTTCCGGTTTTGGCGTGTGACACAATTACATATAGAAAACATGATATTAGGTCTACTTGATGTAAGATAAAGCAATGAACCTATCATACTTCTGTATAAAGTAAGATCAACAGTAGGTATGTATAACGAAGGTGTTAGCCTTGTTCCAACTGCCATTGGTACTCTTAACTTCGTGCTATTCATCATCCTAAATTTTTCGAGAAAATTCCTTGTATATTATTCTTGATTGATGAAAATCCCTTCTCTGCTTTGATGAATGTTTAAACCATGAAAATTATTGATTTTACCCATCATGCTCATTTCGAATTGGTTTTTCATCAAGCTTTCGAATTCACTAGACAAAGCAGGGTCAGTAGAGCCAAAAATAATATCATCGACATAAATTTGAACAAGCATTAGATGATTCCCAACTTTCTTTCGAAATAATGTGGGTTCAAGTGATCCATGTTTAAATTTCGACTGTTTTAAGAAACTGGTAAGAGTTGCATACCATGCTCTTGGTGCTTGATTTAACCCGTATACAACTTTATCTAAAATATAAACATGATTACGATGTTTTTTGTTAACAAAACCTGGACGTTGTTCTACATACACCGTTTCTTCAAGTTCACCATTAAGAAATGCACATTTTACATCCATTTGATAAACATCAAAATATTTATGAGCTGCATAAGCCAAACATATTCGAACAGCCTCGAGTCTTGCAACAGGGGAAAAGGTTTCTTCATAATTGATACATTCTTGTTATGAATAACCTTTAACAACTAATCGTGCTTTGTTTCATATAACATTCCCATCTTTGTCGGTTTTGTTTTTGAAAATCCATTTTAATCTGACAATAGAAACATCATTAGCTTTAGGAATTAATCTCCAAACCTTGTTTCGTTCAAATTCATCCAATTCAGATTGCATTGCAACAACCCAATCAAATTGTTCCATTGCAACCTAAACTGACTTTAGTTCTATTTTGGAGATGAAAACATTAAACATGCAAAATTCTTGATGAGTATTCAGTACCTCATTCTTTGCATGAATTTGAGCTCTAGTCAAAACTCCATCATGTGGATTCTCGATCACTTGTTCTTTCGGATGATTCCTTGTCCACTTTTCCAACGATGGATATGCTGGATCAAAGTCCAAAGGTGCATCTTTGTACATCTCTTCATTTCCGGATCCTACAACAGAAATACTATCATTTAGGTCATCATTTTGATCAAGATTTATGGTTTCATTATCATCATGCTCCCCTTCAGCAAGAATACGATTCACTACTAGAAAAACAGCCTTTTACAATGCGCAATGTGTGTCGTAAAACGCTCAGACGACACGCAAATGCTCGTCAAGGAAGGCCCTGTGATAATGAGAGACGACACGCTTTCGCGCATCGTCTATAGACGACGCACATTTACGACACGCAATGTGTATCATTAAAACCCCTGTCAAGAAAGGCCATGTCATAAATGAAGATGACACACATTTTTGCATATCGTAAATTTAAATGTTTAAAAATATATATTTATATATTTATTAATTTTTAAATTAATTTTGCATTTAATGTCTCATAATATAAATAAAATACCATATACAAAAAATACAATCCATTGCATAATATAAAATAAAATTTCATACTCAAAAAATAAAATAAATTACACAAATTATAATATGTCATACAAAGAATCATTCAAATGTTAAAAAAAATAATACATTGCTAACATGGGTTATACATTCCTATAAAACTAACAAATAATCATCTAACTCTGTTTCTTACTGGAATATGTGTGTAATTGTCTCCTTCATCAGCCTCTATGTCCACAGTCGGATCTACCTTCCTAATCTATATGTATAACAAAGACACATGTATTAAACTTGTTACCATTAACATCTGCTAGTATGGACTCGAGTGTTAAACTTGTTACCATTAACATCTGATTCATATGGTCCACAGAAAGCCATGTCTTCTTCACCTCTAATTCAACAAGATTGTTACCTGTATAAATGAAAACAAACAAGAACATTAACAGCCCAATTATGAACAATTTCGCAGGATGCCAAACATGATGATCATTAATAAGTCCTTTCAAGGATAATTTGGTCTGGATAGAAGATTAAACTAAATACAAATCATAAAGAATCTAAAAAACAGTCGACTGCATTGGAATTGATGGCTTATTAGAAGAATAAGATAGAAATGAAATAATAAGAATTATAAATAACCATTGTGTATGAGGTACAGAGGGAATCTTTATCTGTACAACCTATTTCTTGAAAGATCATAAGTAGTTCAGCCAAAAATTCACAATAATTAAGTAGCAATCGAATACAATTTGCCAACTTAGTGAGGCCAAAAATTCAAAAATAACTAGCAAGCAGCTATAGTTTAACAAGTAACAGCAGATGATATTAAGAACCATAGAAAGGTACAGAATTTCCTCTATTGATATCAGATCTATAACGGATCTTATCACCTCACATCACTTAAAGAACTATTGTAAATAATAATATACAACAATGTAATGCATAAGATCAAAGAAATATCCTTTAACATAAGTGATTAACTAATAGCCATATGCCAAAAATACGCTTTAAGAAGACAATTGAAGTCATAATACCTGACCATTTCTGCACAAAAGATTTTGACTGAAGTTGATTTTGATTTTGTCAAGATAAGCACAGTCTGAGGAGGAGTTTCCCACTTCAAAGAAATCTGAATTATAAAATGTAAACAATATAATGCACCTCATCATATTCTTCATGAAAATACAAATGATTTTGTGAATATTTGTGGGTAAATTATAAAAAAAAATGGTCCCAGAGCTTTCTGATTTTCCCATTTTTAGATCAAAATTGAAACATTTGTCAACTTTGGTTATTATTTTTGTTCCAATTGCATATTCTTTTCTCTTTTTAATTCATATTTGTGTTTCCATTTTGTAGCCTCAGCTTGAGAAGCAACTGTAGCTTCTGCTGCTTCTCTTAAAACCTTGCCAACAGCTTATGAATGACATAAACCACAAGGATCAAACACGATTACAATTTTCTAGTGCAAGATTATCATTTATTTCCACCCCACAGAACATACGATTACAATTTTCTATACTAATAAACTCTTCTATTTATTTTTTCCATTCCAAATATCTTTGTACTAGTCACAAAAAGGAAGGCTATACATACGATTACAACAACTAAGCACAACAATATATTGTTCGATATAGTATTCATTCAAAATTTATGGGTTAAGCGACTAATGCCAATAGCTTAATCCAAAATCAAACTTTTGCCACAGGTGCTCACAGGTCACAACATATATAGCATAATTGGTCTTATCTAACCCTGCCCTTCAATTTCTTCAATACGCTTTGTGGAGAATAGCACATAATCCAACGGTTAATATCATGTCTTATGTATTGAACACAATTAAATCGTAGAGAAATTATAATTACATCCATAGACAGACATAAAGGAAATTATGTAGCAAACCGACCTAGGTCTACAATATGTAGCCAGCGATGAAACCCTCAAATTACTTCTTGGAAGTGCCCCTTCTGATTCAAGCTCACTTATGATGCTCTGTATGACCTAATAACAAACAAAGTGTTATTCGGATTTCTCAATCAACTCAAATTTTTTAAAGCAGTCAAAGTATGAGTTTCAATCCCATTATGGAAAAATTTCATGATCTTACCAGCATCAGGAAGGCCATCTTCCAGCATCTCCAATCCTTCTACACAGATTTCACTGAAACAAGAGAATCAAATCTTTTGTGAAAACACAGCTACACCATTCTATTGGGAACAACTAAGATGATGCAATAATAAAAAAAAACATGATATTAAGTCCATTTGATAGGAACTAATATAGACCAAATTCTAACATGATTATATGTAATATATACATGGAAAAGAATGAAAAAACTTAATACCTGATACCTGAAACAGAAAAATAGGTTTTATATGCAACAGTGAAAGAAAATGGTTTTCCATCTGTGTTTATATTTCTTACACGAGATGTTAACAACAAGTCTCCAACAGGTCTAAGACTAACCCCCCATCGTTATTCAAAGCTACAAAATAACAAAATGTAGTTTGAATTGAAGCAATTGAAAGACTTGTAAATAGCATAAGAATGTCTAGTAGACAAAAAGGTGTGAAATTAAGGTCACCTGTGAGGACATGTTTTCAAATCATCTTCAGTGGACTTGAAGATCAACTCAATGAAAACTTTATTTATGGGATTGGTGGTGAAGGGAGGGGGGTCATTGTCAACACTCCATAATCTGTTTCTAGCAAATCCATGAAGTTCAAGAGAGCCTACATTTGAGAACTGCATTCATCAAGCAAGTCTGATCATGTCTATGATGTATCCAAAAAACTTAATTTTTTATTGAAATCACCAAAAAATGATAAGGAGGCACACTTACGTGAGGGAAGCATATAGGAATTCCCATGTCAACTTCAATCAGTCAAAGGTGGGTCAACAGAAACAGGATACCATATGATGGCTTTTAGTTCAGAAAAAAACTCGTCTCCTGCCATTTCATCGAACAACTTGCCTACATAATCTTCATGAAATACATCAAGAGTGTTTCTTGAGTAGTTATCTACTTCATCATCTGGCCCAAACTCATTAAAATTGAATTATATATATAATGGAAATGTCTTTAGAATATACATTTGTGGTTCTTGCAAAGATCCAGTATTAGTAAGGACAAAGGGAGTCATCATAAGTTCTTTCTTGAAGGAGCTATCTTCCTTAATTAAAACACTAATTTCATCAAAAATAGACAAGAGAATCCCAAACTCAGAGACAAGTTCTGGAAAGCGATTGAACACATAGCTTTTATAAAATTGGACTCGAGAAGGTTCTTTGATGTCTAATGAAAGTACATCGTTGGAGTCTGGTGAGATCAGTATCTAGAGTAGGATTGCGAGAACTAGAAGCTGCAACATACATACATATATTATATAGATATATCACATCTTTCTTCGATTTCCTGCTTCTAATCATAGAACTTGAACAATAGCTCTTCTTCCTCCTCCTTGACCTCGAATCATCTAAACCATTGATGAGAATAACTTGAAGATGAAAGATGGAAACAGAGGTGGAGGAGAATAAGGGAAACTATTTACAATAAAAATGAAGGCCAAAGACCGCCTAAGAAATGATCAATGCCAAAAAATATGGGGGAAACAAAAATCGCTAAAATCACATGAGAGAATCCATGAATTTTAGGGAAAATACCGCTGGTTGTTTGGGGTTTTCCTTAGTAGCAGGATTTTTATAATTCTTTTGGGATTTCATTCTATAATTTTTGGGTGTGCAATTAGATCATCGATGGTAGAAGGGTTTTTACAGAGAATGAAGACTAAGGCCTAGGGCTTTTTCTTGCTAATTGGAAGAGGCAGGGGGTTTAATTTTTAAGATTCAATAGGCGGGTGAAATCCCGCCTTAAAAACGTGTGTTTCATTAAAAAGTTATAAAGCGACACATTTAGACGACGCACATTTTATGAAAGGCGCCCTCCGCATTTTCTTTTTTTTTCTTTTCTGACACTAACTTTAGGGCACGAACAAATGCGTGTCCTCTATCCTTCAAATTTGTCAAAATTGACATTATTTTTAGGGCACACACAAATGCACGTCTTCTATCAGCGAGTCTCATTGTTTGCGCGTCATTAAAGGGATGTTTTCTAGTAGTGATTCTGATGCTCCCCCTCAAAGAGTTCATTAATACTGTTATTTTCCCCTTCGAAAGAATGCTCCCCTTAATAGTTAAATATGTAGTCAAGTGCTCCCCATCCACTCAAGCGTCTAGCATGCTTTCACCATTAACAGTTGAATCTGAGGTGATTATCGAATCATTTGTATGTTTCGAAGATTCAGGAGTTTGATTATCAACAACATGTACCTCAGCATCAACAACCCTATCTGGAACACCAAAAATTAAATCATAATCAAAGTCAGATGAATTAGATTCTTCAGTTTCATCAGGTGATTCATTCAGAACTGGTTTTTGTTCAAATTGTTTTTCAACTTGTTTCACGAAGTAATCATCAAAAGTGAGATTAAAGGTTTCTTCTTTTCGAGTTCGTTTATTTAACACTCTGTATGCAACCGAATTGTTCGAATGTCCCAAAAATATTTGTTCATCAGCCTTAGCTTTAAATTTCGAAAGATTATCTTTGAGATTCATTATAAAACACCTACAACCAAAAACATGAAAGAATTTGACATTAGGTTTTTGATTATTGAATATTTCATGCGGAGTTATATTGAAACTACTATGAATGAAAGATCTATTCTGAGTAAAACATGTTGTCGAAATTGCTTCTTCCCATAAGTATTGAAGAAGATTCTCATATGTCAACATTGTCCTCGCCGCTTCCCAAAGAGATCTATTTCTCCTTTTGACCACTCCATTTTGTTGAGGAGTATAGGGCGAAGAAAAGATATGCGAAATTCCTTTTTCCGTTAAGTACGAATCCAACACTTTGCTCTTAAACTCAGAACCATTATCACTTTTGATTTTTCGAACTTTCTTCTTCAGACTTATCTCAATTTTCTTGATAAATTCGATCATTGTTTGAGCGACTTCATATTTTAACCTGAGAAAATACACCCACGTAAATCATGAAAAATCATCAACAATAACCAAAATATATCGTTTCTTGTTGAGAGTTTCAACAGTTGATGGTCCACAAAGGTCAATATGAAGAAGTTCCAACAGTTCAACAATTTTCGAATCAATGACAATTGGATGCCCTTTACGATATTGTTTTCCTTGTTCGCGAGCTGCACATAAAGTATCATTATCAAACTTTAACACAAATAAACCTCGAACAAGATCTTCTGTAACCAATTTATTTAAATTTTGAAAGTTTAAATGAGATAAACATCGATGCGATAACCAGCTAATATCTATGGGAGCTTTAAAAAGTAGACAAACTAAGGGTTTTCCAACTATGGGTTTGATGTTGAGGGTAAACATATCTCCATATCTTTTTGATTTCAACAATACTTCGTTCGTCTCAACTTTTGAAATGATGCTTTCTTCTTTGTTAAACACAAATTGATTGCCAATGCCCATAACAAGTTGTGAAACACTTATCAAATTATGTTGAAGACCTTCCACATAAGCAATATGATACACTGTAAATTGACCATTCGTTACTTTTCCATAACCTTTAACTTGACATTTATGATTATTTCCAAACTTCACTACACCAACATTTTGTAAACTTCGAAAATCACGCAAATTCTCCTTCCTTACAGTGATGTGATGTGAGCAACCACTATCAATCATTGAAAGAATTTAGGTACCCAATGTTGTTTGGGTCCTTGGTTATTAGTTTGAAAGAGAAAATGAATTTTAGAATTTAAAGCCCAGCTTCGAACTTTAGTTTTGAAATAATCAATTAAGTCGACATCATCAGTTAAAGATATCGAAATATGATTTTTCAATAGTTTTGGACATTCACCAACTTTCTTCTTATGTTTCGTAGATTGTCTTTCTTTTGAGATTGGTTGCCATCTCTGAACTGGAGTATTTGACTCTTTCGAAGATGAACTTCCAAATTGAGAATCATTTAAATACTGTTCATAGGCCTTTTTGATTTGATGTTGTGAAAACTTCCCAGATTAATACTTTTTCCCATTGTTTTCAAGCCAATGATTCATGGTTTCCTCTTCAGATGTGCCTTTTGTGTATGAAACTTTGGTCGCTTTTTGTGTAGATGGATTTGGAAAATTTGGTTTTTGTGGAATAAACTTTGAAGTTGTTTTCAAATTCCTTTAACAAATGTTTGATTGATTTCATATTTTCAAACATTTTCAACTTCTCAAAAAATCTCAAACTTTTGATTTGTTCTTTTTGAAGAAAATCAATTGTTCACATTTGTAGATTTTGTGAAAGATGAATATGAATTTGAAAATTTTTGATGACTGTTTAAATAAGAATGCTTTTGAAAATTATTTGATGATGATGATTTTGAAAACTTCGTTGGAAAATCCTTTGAATTTGTCTTTTGATATTCATGGGAATTTCATAGAGCGGGATTTTTCTTTGTTAGTTCATTTGATTGCTTTTCATTTGTCACAATATGCCAAAACATTCTTTTTCTTGTCTGTCTTTTCGAAATTCCTTTTTCTTTCGAAAATTTGTCAACAAGATCTTTAAATTCTTGTGAATTAAGTTTCACATTCTCATTTTTTTTACTTGATTTTTGTTTCAAAATTTCTTTTGCAACTTCTCGTTTTTCAAGCCATTTTCGTTGTGGTTTTTGTCTTTGAAAAACATATGAATATTTGTTATATTATTTTCGATAGTGCTTTGATTTGAAAAGAATCCTTCGTCTGATGTTTGCTTGTTATCTTCTTCAACCATTTTGTTGAACTCTGGTTTTATGTTTTCAACATTCCCAGTAGTGACAAACACTTGATTCAGAAATACAACATCATCTGTGCACTTGAAATTCGGATAAACCACTATGTTGGTAACCAAATAGTGAGCACCTTTGTCTAACAACACTTTATCGAAATTTTCAGTGTCTCCAAACACTTGTTCAACAACAATTCGTGGAATTTTTGTTTCGTTAGGAACATTCTTTTCTTTTTCAAAATTATTCGACACATCATTTTCATTCTCATCTTCACTATCATCAGTTTGACTGCCTCGTACCTCCACATCATCAAAATCACAAACTTTTAAAATAGAGGGTCTATCAGTGTCATCATCAACCATCAAATCATTATAAATTTCTTTACCTTTTGACTTAGATGTGACATTAATGATTGATAACTGAGAACATCGACACTTTCCTCCTCCTCAATTTCACTTATTTTGCTAAAACAATCAGAATTGTCTTCGATATCAACAAAATTAGATTGAGAATCAAGTTTCAAATTATCAGTTCTTTTCAAAATTTTGAGTTGTTCACTTTTTGTCAAATTTCCATTCACAATCTCAACAAGTTCATCAGCATTCAGAAATTCATCTATCTTAGCAATACCATAAGCAAATCTATCATCAGACACTTTGTTAAAGTCTGCCATGGTTTGTTCACAATCATAGGACAAAATATCAACCTTCTCTCTCTCAAAAGTAAGAAAAAGGTAATAATTTCCTATATTTTTCTTTACTAATATCACACGAATGATGCAATGCAGTCAATTTAGCATAGAGACGTTTAGCCGAATTACAATATACGTTTCTTTGTGCAAGCAACATCCTTACATCTCTATCCAAATTATCACTATCATTATTGACATTTTTTATTTGAAATTCTAAATACTCTACCCTGCTACATTTCGAATCTAGAAGTTTTTGGGTCT